GCCCCCAAGGGGGGGGGGGCCCCTACTGGGGGCCCCTGCTGCATATTGTCTATAGGAGACGGTAATGGAGAGAGAACAGCTTGCTTAGAGTTGTGCAGATCTATGAGTGCAGCATCTGTATATATTAAATCGATAAAGCTGCTGGAGCAGCCTACTTGTAAGCAGCTGCTAGCGCAGCATTTGCTGCTGCAGCAAACACTTGAAGATATTCTACTAGCCAAACAAAGTCTTGATATGACGGTTCTCGACTATGAAGCAGAACAGCAGCAGCAGCAACAGCAGCAGCAGCAACAGCAAGTGCAACAGCAGCAGCAAGCGCAGCAGCAGCAAATGCAGCAGCAGCAACAGGTGCAAGGGGAACCGCAACAAAAACAGCAGCAAAGTATTTACACAAAAACGCAGCAGCAAATGCAGCAGCTACAGCTGCAGCAGCAACAGGTGCTGCTGCAGCAGCCCCTGGGGCCTCCATCAATAGCTGAGGGCCCTTACAACCAACTCAGGGAGTTGAAGGGCCCCCTCGACCTGCAGCAGCAGCAGCAGCAGCAGCAGCAGCAGTGCAGCACGAAGGGAACAGGGGCTCTGCTGCAGCGCCACCAGATGCCACCACCAGCAGCAGCAGCAGCAGCAGCAGAAGCAGCAGGAGGAAACACTGACGATTTCATAGACCAAATAAGCGCTGAGCTCTCGCAATTAGATACAGCACAGACAGGAATAGTCGGGGGCCCCCTGGGGGCCCCCCCGTCCCCTCATTTATTAAGAGTTCAAAACTAAACAACTTTCTCGTCTCTTTACTCTACATACTTTTAAATAAACAGCAGCAGACAGGGGCCCCCTTACATGGAGGTCATTGATGATATTCATCTATCGATGGGGCCCCCTTGAGGGGGCCCTACTTGGGGGCCCCCTTAGGGGCCCCCTCGAAGGGGCTCTGTTAGGGGGGCCCCTTGAGGGGTCCCCTTTGCTAGGGGGGCCCCTTGAGGGGGCCCTTCTTCTTGGGGGCCCCTTGACAGGGTCCTTTAGGGGGCCCCTATTTGACATCATTTATGGCTGGGGCCCCCCTTCGGGGGGCCCTTGTGGGGGCCCCCTTGAGGGGGCCCCCCCTTTGGGCGCAGCCCCCTTTGATGGGGGTCCGCTTCATATGATTGGCTTTCAGCAGCAGCTTTTTAGTTTTATCTCTTTGTGCTGCTGCTTCTTTTTAGGGGGCCCCCAGTAAGGGGGGCACCCAATAAGGTGGGGGCCCCTATAAAAGGGGGGCCCCCAAGGGGGCCTCTATAGGGCCCCCTTTGAACTAAAACAGAAAAGCAAAGGCCTGTAGACAATAAACCCCTTCATTTACTTCTGTCGTTTTTGTAGTAGACAGACAAACACGAAAAGCCGCAGCAAAAGAAGCAGTAGCAGCAGCAACAGCAGCAGCAATAGATATAAGGATGTCATAGTGCTGCAGTAAAAGAGTTGAGTTATACCCTTAAAGGGGTCTTAGGGGCCCCCTTATAGAGGTCTTAGGGGCCCCCTTGTAGAGGTCTTAGGGGCCCCCTTATATGTAAGTCTTAGGGGCCCCCATATATATATAAGTCTTAGGGGCCCCCTTATATAGGTCTTAGGGGCCCCCTTATAAAGATTAAAGAATGGGGGTCTTAGAGGCCCCCCAATAGAAAAATGAAGACTCCTTCACGTTGAAATGCTGGTTGGGGGCCCCCTACAAGGGGTGTAAAGGGGGCCCCCCAAACCTTCATCGGGGGCCCCTCTGTTCTATTTATCTATCTGTATTTATAGTGTTTAATTGATAAAGTTTGATGCAAGGGGTATTATGTTTGTTAGAAATGAATTACTTCTTGCCTTTCCTTCGTCTCCCTTTAGCCTGCTGCTGCTGCTGCTGCTGCTGTTGCTGTTGCTGTTGCTGTTGCTGTTGCTTCTGCTGCTGCTGCTGCTGCTGTTGCTGCTGCTGGTCAAAGCCTGGGGGCTTCTGTTCTGCATGCGTTAGAGACAACATTCTGGGGTCGTTGTTTAAGAAGGGTTTACGCATATCAAGAGCATCTTCTCTCCCAGAGTAATACCCTTTTTCTGTTTTATATATATAATATCCCCTCTTTAAATAGCAGTTAATAGCCGCTTTATTACTAATACGAACAAACAAATCTATAAAATAACATCTATACTTCTCACTGCATATACACTCTAAACGAGATAATAATAACGAACCCACCCCCGACCCTCTTGCTTCAGCAGCTACAGACAGCGCTGTCAGATGTCCATGCCACTCTAAGCCCTCTCCCTCTACCTTTCCTAACAACAAACAAACAAACAAACAAACAAACAAATAAATAAATAAATAAATAAATAAATTTATTTATTTATTTATTTGTTTGTTTGTTTATTTACCTACTCTTATATTCACATTTTTTATGTTGATAATATTAATTCATTTATATATTTATTTTTTAAGTTGTTAGTGGTTATATATATATATATGCATAAACATATCAATAAAAAATTAATTAATTAATTAATTAATAAACTGAAGATATAAAGAAATAAAGAAAGAAGATATGGATAAATACACAAACAAAAACAAATAAAAAATAAACATTAAAAAAATAAAAACGACAGAAACAAACAAATAACAAATAAATATACAAATAAATAAACATATAAATAAATAAATAATAAATAAACAAGTAAATAAATAAATAGACAGACAGAGAGAGAACAAGAGACAGCAAAAAAGAAAAACAAACAAACAAACACAAAATGAAAGGAGACAGCCAGCACAGTCAAACAACAACCAAAACAAGAGCAAATAAAAAACAAAATAAAATAAAATAAAATAAATAATAATAAAATAATAATAAAATAATAATAATAATATTATTATAATTATTAATTAATAATAGTTTGACAGACCTATAACATATCCTAGCACAGTTGAGTCAGCAGCAACAGCAGCCCAGCATAAGTCCGCCCAAGAGTTTAAATATTTTAAGTAAAAAGTATTAATAAAAGTCTCTGTAAATTTATCTGCATTTATTATCTCAAATGCATGCAGATCTCTCGGCGTCAGAGGACGCAGTAATATAGACATTGTATAGACTATTATTGTGCAAACAAATAATAAATATAAATATTTATATATAAATATAAATATATAAATATATATATATATATATATGTATATATATATATTAAATTATAATGACGGAGGAGAGACAGAGAAGAGACGAAAAGATAAGATGGAGACAGATAAATAAATAAATAAATAAATAAATAAATAAATAAATATATAAATATAAATAAATAAATAAAAATAAATAAATAGAAAGAGATAAATAAAGATATAAGGAGACAGATAAAGATATAAAGACAGAGAAGGAGACAGTAAAATAATTAAAGAGATAAGGAGACAGACAAAAAGACAAATAATTAAAGAGAAAGATAAAGAAGTAAAGAGCTAAAAATATAGTTATAAAGATAAAGAGAGACAGTTAAAAAGATAAAGAGAGACAGATAAAAAGATAAAGAGAGACAGATAAAAAGATAAAGAGATAAAGAGAGAGATAAAGAGATAAAGAGAGACAGCTAAAAAGATAAAGAGAGAGATAAAAAGATAAAGAGAGAGATAAAGCGAACAGAGGTTTAAAAGGCGACAGAAAGAGAGACAGAGAAGTACAAGAAGAGATTAACTAACGCAAGAGCAGATATAAACAAAGGTAAACAAATATAAACAAATATAAACAAATATAAACAAATATAAACAAATATAAACAAAGATAAACAAAGATAAACAAAGATAAACAAAGATAAAGAAAGATAAAAGTGAGGGGATAGGGTGCTCCTCTTGAAGAGACAGAAAGAGACAGCCAAAGAGACAAACACACAATAAAATAAATAAAATAAAACAAAAATAGAGTTAAAGAGATAATAAAGAGAAAGGAAGCAAGACAATTTATTAAAAAGAGAGGGGGCCCCTCTGCTGCTGCTGCTGTTTGATTGAAGGCGCTGCTGCAGTCTGGAGGAGACGGTGATGAACAGCACAAACCCTAAATAAATAAATAATAAATAATAAATAAATAATAAATAAATAAATAATAAACAAAACAACACCTCTTCTTCATCTCTCGTGCGAAGAAGAGAGAGGGGGCCCCCCTTCTATTTCTAGGGGGCCCCCAGCAGCAGCAACATCTTCTTTGCTTCTGCTGCTGCAGCAGCAGCATATACATATTTATTTCTTTATTTGTCTCCTTCTTATTTTGTTTTATTATTTGCTTCTGCTGCTGCTTTTCTTCTCCTTCGCTAAAAAGCATAGGGGCCCCCTCTTCTTGTGGGGCCCCCGTCGCGGCGGCGGCGGCGGC